ATTTCTCACCCTCAGAAACTTTAAGATGTTTGGACTCAAACTCCCAAAATCCCCTAGCCAGCATGCTAGCTGGGGAATTCTGAGAGTTGAAGTCCACACATCTTAAAGTTGATCAGGTTGAGAAACCCTGCTCTAGATTATCTGAGGGACAGTATTTCACCCACTCAATTATTTCCTTTATTTTATTTTCTGCAGGAAGAACAAGAGGCAGCTAGACGTCGACAGCAAAGAGAAAACAAGAGTAACACAACAACTCCAACAAAAGTCCAAGAAAACAAGGTCTGATTCCACTAAGGCTTTCTTACATGTTACTATTTAGTGATAATCTGTATAAATCACAAGAAATCATACATAACTATTTTAGCTTCTCTACAGAAAAAACCCAGAATCTGCGTTAGAGTAACACCTTCATTAGGGGTTAATGGTACAGATCAGTTCTTCCCAAGATTTCAGTGTATAAATTGCAGTTAATAACTAGTTGTGTCATCTGCTTTCTATTAGCGGCAGGCTCCTATCCAGGGTGTCTTTTTAGAATCATGAGAATTGATTCTGGAAAGAGGATAATGCTGCCTTAGTTTGTGTCAGACTTCTTGTATTGCCAACAGTGAATGGTGATGCTCTTCAGGATTTCAGGGATTGCTCGTGGGATCTTCTTCCTAGCACAGCAGACATTCCTATTAAGTTGCCATTCTTCCAGAATTCTAACAGTACAATGGTGACTTGGTTGATAAAATGCTCTGGGAAGAGACAGGAGAAGACACTATTTTTGGTGGCAAAGCAGAAGTGGGGTGAACTGTAAGTCAGTCCTTATGGCAAGCACACCCTGAATGCCAGTCAGTTTGAAGCCTGAGGAATTGTTATATTACCTGATATGGGGAGTGAAGGAGTTTAACATCATAACGCATGTCTTTAGAGCAGTATTCCCCAATCTTACGCTCTTCAGAAGTGTAAGGCTTAGAATTTATTGGGGTATTGATTGGGATTTGTAGTCAAATGGGTCAATACACCCAGTTCCCTGTTTCATAGATAATTACTCTCAGCCATAGATTGAACTGTCTGTCTGACCTCTGATTCCTTTATAGACTACTTTAAAAACAAAAACCACCAAACTCTCAGAGATGAAAAGTTATAATAACCCCCCATGGCACAGTAGGCTTATGTAGGAAGGTAATTATTAATGTGCCATTTTCTTCTAGCCTAGTTTGTCTTCTCTGGTTGATGGCAGCTACTCTGGATCTCTGATAGAAAGAGGTATTTTATAGTTCTGCTTGTTGGCAATGCTAAAGACTGAATCTGGGATGTTCTGTTCTTTTCCACTATCTTTCCCCATAAGAAGGAAAAACTATGTTTTTTTCTTGTCTCAAAGTTGCCTTTTCCCCTCCTGTTTCTTTTTGTTTTTTAAAGGACGATGGTGCTGAAGAAGAGAAGAACCTTGGGGCCAATACTGTCAAAAAGCCATCTCCATCCAAAGCACGCAAGAAGAAGTTGAGCAAAAAGGGAAGGAAAATGGCAGGCAGGAAGCGTGGGCGCCCCAAGAAAATGAATGTTGTGAATGCCGAGCGCAAGATCAAGAAGAATCAGACTGCGCTGGAACTTCTCCATGCTCAAACTGTATCACAAACAAATTCATCCTCTCCTCAGGGTAAGCCTTAGAGCTGGGGGAACTGCTAATCCCGTTAGAAAATGTCTTCTTTGGGTCAGTTTAAGCAGTCTAACTTGAAACTATTGTACAGCGTCATCCCCTTATATAGCCACAATTTTACAATGGGGACCAATCTTAGGTGCTTTAGCAGTAATCTTATCCTGGAAGATAAGTTGATGAAGATTCTCAGTCATCCAGGTGGAATTATCTGGAGGTTGAGTCGTGGCAACTGGACTTCTTTCCTTTTGGTTTGATACTTTTCGCTGCTTGTCCAAGCAACTTCTTCAGTCTAGAAAGTTGGTTGGGGGGACCCCATAAATGTCT